CCCCCAAAAAAAAATAATAAAAAAGGACCCCCAAAACCTTTTCTGTATTTAGCTGCAAAATTATGTAAAGGAAGTGTAACTGGATCACAGCTGGGATATATCCCCTTTTTATATCTTTAAACAGCTGAGGTCCACATTAGATAAAATTACTCATGGATTAGGAACATTTCACAAAGAGATCATTTCTGATCTGCCACCAATCGCAGGCACATGCTATCGGGAACAATACTCATGGCATGATTCAACACAGTAATTCCATGACTATTACTGGCTTTGTATTAAGAAAATAAAATGTTCATGTACACAATAGATAATGATCCCACAATTTAAAACAAAACGAGGCTAACACCAAGAGTACTGTGAACCAATCAACCATGTGCAACGCGATGTGACCCAGGGCATGCAGCAATCTTACTATTCTGACAGCTGTAGACTGTTGAAGTAACCAATAAAACGTAAACTATCAGCTACTGTATTTATTATTATTAATAATATTATTATACAGGATTTATATAGCGCCAATAGTTTGCACAGCGCTTTACAATATAAGGAAGACATTACAGTCACAATACAATTTAAGACAAGATGGTAAGGAGGGCCCTGCCCATGAGGGCTTACAATCTAAAAGGGAGGAGCCAGTGATACATGAGCAGGTAGCTGCGCGGGGATGATTGTGGCTCAGGGGGCTGTAGATAAGGCGTTCTATGAGTTTGGAGGTGAATGGGAGTAGGGAGATTGGTCCATTGATTGTTTTTTGGGTATTGGGGTGACCAGGGCATGCTTTAGAGGGGAGGGAAAGATTCCAGTAGAGAGGGAGAGATAGAAAGTGTGAGTAAGAGAGTGTAGGATAGAGTATGAGGGTGACCGAGGTAGTGGTGAGGGAACACGATCCAGGGGGCAAGTGGTGAGGTGGGTGTCAGAGAGAAGCTTTGTAACCGCCTCTGTGGTGACCGGGTCAAAAGGAGAGTAGCAAGTGTGATGGTGGGTCTGGAACATGAATAGGAGAAGGTGACTGCACAGTGGCAATCTGATCCCGAATTGTATCGATTTTGTTTTTGAAATGAGTGGCAATGTCCTGGGCAGTGAGTGAGTTAGTAGGTGGTGGCGGATATAGTAGAGTTAAAAGTGGAAAAGAGTTGACGAGGTTTGGATGAGAGTGTGTTAATGAGAGTAACAAAATAAGTCTGTTTGGCAGCACGGAGGAAGGAATTATATTTTAGGAGGGCAGCTTTGTACAAGGTGAAATCTTGCAGAGATCTAGTTTTTCGCCACAGTCAGTCATTCAAGAGCGCGGCTATGTCTTTTTAGATGTCTGGTTTCTTTTGTTTGCCACGGTTGTAGTGGACGTGGTCTAAGTCTGCGTGTAGTGAGGGAAGCCAAAGTGTCTAGGGAGGATGAAAGTGAGCTGTTGAAGACAGAAATAGCCAGGTCAGGGCAGGACAGGGGTGAGATTTTGTCATAGAGGTAGTCAGTAGCAGAGTAAAGAAGAAAAGGGTCGAGGTGGCGAAGGTTTCTCCGAGTGACAGTGTGCCGTGTAGATGGATTCAGGGTTGGGGATAGGGTGAGGGTGAAACGGAGAAGGTTGTGATCTGAGAGGGGGAAAGGGGTGTTGGAGAGGTTGCAAGGAGTGCATAGGTGGGAGAAAACAAAGATCTAGTATGTTACCATCAGAGTGAGTAGGAGTGTTTGACCATTGTGTTAGATCAAAAGAAGAGGTTAGGTTAAGAAATTGAGCATAAGCTGGGGTTTTAATGTTAGTAGCAATGTTAAAGTCACCAAGAATGATAGTGGGTATTTTTGAGGAGCGAAAGTAGGGTAGCCAGGCAGAGAAGTCATCCAGAAAGCGAGATACTGGTCCTGGTGCCCGGTATATAACAGCAATCCTCAGTGAAGTTGGAGAGAATAGGCGAATACAGTGGGTTTCAAAAGAGGAGAGGGATAGAGAGGGAGGTGAAGGCAGAACTTGAAAAGTGCATTGAGGGGATAGAAGGATTCCCACTCCACCTCCTTTCTGTCCATTGGATCTGGGTGAGTGCGTCCAATGTAGGCCACCATGGGAGAGTGCAGCAGGGGAGGCAGAGTCGGATTCCTGAAGCCAGGTTTCAGTAACAGCTAGCATGTTAAAGGAATTGGAGATAAGAAGATCATGGACAGCAGTGAGTTTGTTACAGACAGAGCGGGCATTCCAGAGGGCACATGAGAAGGAAGGACCAATTCTAGGAAGCAGGGGAATAGAAATCAGGGTGCGTGGATTGCAGCTGCTGCCAGAGGAAAGGCAGTGCTGGTTTGGAGGGAGAGTATTAGAAATGAGAGGGCCCGGGTTGGGAGAGATATCCCCTGAAGTCAGGAGAAGTAGTGTGGTGTGAGGGAAGTGAGATGAGAGGGAGTTTTACATGAGCGAACATGCCCAAGTGTACTCTGTATTTAACGAGTCTGTACAAAAGGAAAGAAAGCATGAGCACACCAAATGCACCTACCATTAAAACAGTTGCACAGGTCTTCATGAGTTACAAAGGAAAATGTATGACTGTGTTAAGGAACGCAACAACGCTAAATGGGTAAAAGAAAATGAATCCAGACCGCACAAAATATTTTTCTTCCCTTTTTAAAACTGCAAAATGTAGCCCAAGGCATGCATATTACAAACACAGCAATACAGAATATTACAGTTTAGCTCTCTGAAGTATTTGGTAAATTACATTTAGCAACTTTGGATACCAAATCCACCCAAAAGCGATATTTTTGCCAAGTTAAATTGGATTGTGGCTTGTTAAAGGAAAACAATGTTTTGAGAGTTAATTTTTGCCTTTGAAGACAAATTCCCACTATGCGTGTTAATGACGTTTTCATGCCTTAAGGCACGTTGGATTAAGGCAGTTCACTCTGTAAATGACAGGGCAGCACACCTCAATACACAAAAAACATACCTGAAATTATTTTCACATCTACGCAATGCGGTGTGCTGAAAATACACATGCAATGATGTGCCATTCAAAAATGAATGGCCCCGCAGGGCATCACGAGTCACTGTAACACAGATAAATGCTCACTTAAAAGCTGGTGCCCTCTATGCGCAGGTCTGCATGGGGCCCTTTTACAAAGTGAAATTCCAGACACTGCTGGACATGGCAGGCAGGAGACAAGAGTTACTTCTACTCATTTAGTTGTGGGCAAACAAAATATTAAAGGTCTGTATTAAAAAAAGACAAAAAAACCCCACCAAGTTCTAACACAAATGTGCCCCTCACTCCCTATAGCAGGCCAGTGTTACAGGAAACAGCTTTGTGGGGATGATTTGTCCTCTCCATTGTCACATGCTAATAAATCAGACTTTGTGGCCTTACCACAAGGTACAATTATACTTAAATTGCG